TTAAAATATATGAAAATTTATTTAGAAATCCTGACCATAAAAAAAATAATAATGACAAAAATATAATCTATGTCACAATTTTTTGGGTGCAATACGTGATATCTTCATCCTCTCTTCCAGTTGGCCCAGTTAATTTGAACTTTGACAGGATATGCCCTGGGCGTTGAACTTTCCGCACTCGAGGACAGTCACGGTCTTCGTCGTCGCGGCCCTTCACTTCTTTTTCATTACATTAAAATGCAGGACCTCGAATGGAATTTAATGACTTGATAAATGCTGCCATGCTAATGTGAAGCCAGGAATCAAAGTCCTGGAGTTGCAGTTATGTACAAAGAATCAAACCGAGAAATTCATCAATAGAACGGAAAATTACTTCAATGATATTTTCATTCGTTAATGTAGCAATACATTATTATGTATGACCATCATTTACAATTAAATAATAAATGAATTATAAGAAATTAATTTTTTTAGTGATATGAGAATCATATGCATTGATGTATTGTTACACTAATAAATAAATAAATAAATTTGCTATTCCAATTTTCTATCCGAACCAATCTAAACTAGTGGCAGGTGAACCAATCTCAGATGGTGTTATAGCAAACTGTAACAAAAGCATCAAGTCCAAGAACAACTAGATCAAGGTAGGGGAAATCTAGGAATTTGGTAAGAAAATTAGGGTTTTAGCAATCAAACCCGAGGAAAAGATTGCAAAGAAGATTAGAGACAGGGAAGATAATGACCAAAACAAGAAGCTTTCAACCTTAAAGCAATCTACTACATACGAAAAGGAGGGGCGTAGATTGGTTTCATGATAATCTTGTCATACAGCATTAAAGGTCTAGGGGGATTGGTAAAAAGAAAGATGTGACGGATCTTATGTTGAAAGAAAAAATTGAGTTCGTGGCTTTGCAAGAATCCAAGTTAGACAGCATTGACAAGAAATTGTGAAGAACCTTATGAGGAGTGGATGATTTTGACTTTATTGCTAAACATTCAATAAGCCATTTGGATGGTCTCATATGCATTTGGAGTGATAGCATTTTTAAATTGGTAGATGTGTTAGAAGGTGAATATTTTATTGGGGTTTTTGGTTCTAGGGTGCAAAGGAGATCTTAGTTTATTTAGTAAACGTTTACACCCCATGTTATAAGACAAGGCAAAGGCAATTGTAGATTGAACTGTAATAGTTAGTTAATGGTAATAGTGGTAATTTGTGTATTATGAGTTATTTTAATGTTATTTTAAGCTAACATGAAAGAACAAGTAGTAATAATCAAGTGACTACTACAAGTCTACAAGGGAATTCAAGAACTTTGTCAGGACTTCTAAATTTATTGACTTACCTCTAATTGGTAGAAAGTTCACATGGTATTAACCTAGTGGCTCCACCATGAGTAAACTTTATAGATTTTTGTTATTAGAAGAGTGGTTATTGAATTGGCCATCAACAAAGCATTGGGGACTCAAGTGCACCTTATTTGATCATTGTTTTATCTTACTTAAAAATCAATTAACTAATTGGGGGCCTATGCCTTTTAAATGTTTTGATGATTGGTTGAGTCATCTAGATTTCAGAACTATTATTGTTGATGCACGAAAGTTTGCAAGGATTTAAAGTTGGAAAGTTTTTGTCTTAAGGGAGAAACTGAAGCTAGCAAAAATGAATATTAAAGAGTGAAGTAATAAAGAGTATAGCAATTTGGACTCTAAATTTGCTAAAGCCATTAGCTAAAGCAATCAAGTCTTTATATTTGAAAGGAGAACAAAGACAACTCACGAACAAGGAGATGCAGGATAGAAAGCACATTTCCTAAAGCTATGTGAAATTTTGTAGATAAAAGAAGGCATGTGTAGACAAAAATCAAGGAAAGCTTAGTTAAAAGATGAGGATGCCAATACTAGATTATATCATCAATCCATCAAGAGCAGGCATCAAAGATAAGAAATAAATAGCAGTGAGATAAACGGTAAGACATTGATTGAGGTAGATGTAGTTAAAAATGGAATTTCTTATCACTTTAAGGAGTTGTACAAAGAAGAAAATTGGCAGAGGCCAATTCTAGATGGGATCCCTTTCAAACAAATTTCCACCTCTCAGAATAGTTCATTAAGTACCCCATTTAGTGAGGAAGAAATCAAAGTTACAATATGAGATTGTGGTTGTTCAAAGGCCTCAAAACTTGATGGTTTTAACTTTAATTTCTTCATAAAAATGTGGCAGTACATAAAGGAAGATATAATTGGTTTTGTCTAGGAATTTCATTTAGATGGCAAATTGGTTAAGGGGGCCAATGTCTCATTTATTACACTCATACCCAAAGTTCACAATCCACAGCATATTGAGAAATATAGGCTTGTTTCACTTATTGAGACCATGCATAAAATCATTGTCAAGCTATTGGCTAATAAACTTAGAACAATAATAAATGATCTCATTGGGGGACAATAGACGGCTTTTGTCAAAGGGAGACAATTGTGTGAAGGAGTTGTCATTGCGAATGAGCTTACCAATAAAGCAAATAGAGGGACACAATCAAGTTCATGCTAAAGTTGGATTTTGAAAAAGCTTTTGATAGAATCAGCTAGAGTTTCTTGGACCATATGATGAAAAGAATGGGATTTGATGCTACTTGGCAAAATGGATCATAAAATGTCTTCAAACTAATCTGCTATTTGTTTTAGTAAATGGTAGCCCAACAAAGCTATTCTGCACATCCCGTAGATCGAAATAAGGAGATCTCTATTGCCATTCCTTTTCTTCATTATAGCAAAGGGATTCAATGCAATTCTAACATTTGCAATAAATAGCAATCTTTTTTAGAGGCTAGAAGTTGGTAAGGATAGTGCACATTTTACCTATGTTGAATGTGCTAACGACACAATCCTTCATGGGAAAGTTACAAAGGACAACATATGGGTAGCAAAATGCATACTTCAAATCTTTGAATTAGCCTCCAATCTCAAAATAAATTATACTAAAAGCAAATTATACAAGATCCACACAAAGAAAGATTGGCTCGTGAAGATGGCTTTCCTATTGAATTATAGAATTGGGAAGATGCCCTTTTAAGTATCTTAGAATCTTGGTAGGTGGCAACCATAGAAAACTTGCATTGTGGCAATCGCTTGTGGAAGATTTCAAGAAGAAGTTGCTAGCGTGGAAAGTCGTTGGTTATCATTTGGTAGCAGGCTTATCTTACTCAACTTTGTGCTATCCTCTCTCCTTGTCTTCCTCTTATTGGCCTACCTCGCTCCAAAAGGTATCATCAAAACTCTTGACAAAATTAGGA